AAAACCCCATGATTGAAATAATATGCATTTTTGTCGGTTTATGAAATTAAGATTAAAATTCAAGTAAATCTGTTTCAGTTTAATATGGTGTAAACTAAAATGGAAGCAAGTAAAATCATTTCCATCCATGATTTTAATAATGAACCACTTGAACACATCTTCACATTATTTGAACATTCTTAAGATACAGTTTTATTAGGTCCAGGTCCCCAACATCCAACTGTGTAAGGATGGAACATTGTAGTTACATAATAATAAATTCCTGCTATTTCAACTCCATTACAGAGATCAATATCACAGGGCTACCATAAAGTTCCATCTCTTTTGTAGGGCCCTAAAATTGAATGGCCATCTCTTGCTATTCCAATTACCATTATAGTCTTTTCGTGAATTTACATGAAGGATAATGCATATGCTAACTTATCTTCTTTACATTTTGGTATATTATCGCATATCTGTCCATCTATGCACTTAATAGGCCCAGATGGTAGTATGCAAGGAGACCAACCATAATAGTGATAATATCCAGAATACTCAGCACTTCCAAGACAAGAGTCAAGCTTAATTTTTTTGTTAGAATAAATTTTTTTTCCGAATTACTTAGGATAGAATACATCAGAGCCGTATTCAGAATTTCCAGTATGAATAGGAACTCCATTAAGAGCAATTCCAACAATACTTTCAAAATATCCTGAATATTCAACATAATCTGGATTGATTTATTATAAAAATCCTGCCTAAGTCCATGAACCATCACAAAGTGCATTATTTACACTGTTTTGATCATCCCCGTCGAATGTAGAGATTTATTTGTATTCAGAATCTAAAAGCATTCCTGTAAGGGAGTTTCTATTCTTTTATTAAACTTAAAAGTGAATTGTATTCAACTTAGGAGAAATGCCTGGAAAGGAACAGTGGTTAGGCAAGGAGGGAGTCATTATTATTAATAGATCATTTGTTGCTTTGAGCTAAAGGTCTCTCATTCCTGTTTAAGTTTACTCTTCATTATTATAGTCAGTAAAAGCTTTTCTCACCTATTGGCAGGGTGGGCAAGATCCATCAGGATATAATTTCATTCCTCTACATTAAATCTCATCTCCACCATCATTATATTCTGAGCCAGTGTTTTAAATATTGTCAACTGATTCTTAAAACTTTGACTAAAATAAATCATATTATAATAAAAATATCTATACTTCTCGATTATAACATTTGAAATCACCCTTTATTTTTTCATAAATGCAGTACTTATTTTACTCAGTCAAGCAACTGCTATCACAACTAAAAAATAAGAGTTAATATAACTCTGAAATCTAATCTAATGAAATAAGGTATTACTTACCCATCATCGTCAATTTTATTTTAGTCCAAACAAATTCCTTCCCTTAATTCGCATTATTTCTAAAATATTTATTAAATGTTTGGCTCGATTATTGCCGTAAAGCCCAGCTCAATTCTACAAGAACTATCGCAACTAAACAGAGTTTATTTTAAAGATTTGTTACCCATCAGTCGAAAAGCTGTTAAAATCATCGCACTCTTCAAACATTTCTAACATGCCATTACCACAAACAGGATTCAAAGCTGGATTTTACTCAGATTTTTATTTCTTTTGACAGTGCATTTCTTTATTGTCTAGCGACAAGCAAGTATAACCTTTTTTTACTTGGCAATTCTCATCACACCTATAAGGAAAATTAATAGCAAAGTCCAAATTTTTGAAAAGTTATAATTTTAAAAATGTATTACCAGTCCTCAGATTGATTATTCCCATCTAAACAAGTTGAGAAACTCTGGTTATCACAGAAGATAGAGCATTTAGATGATTACCCCATAATATTTTTACAGAAAAACCCTTCTATGATTTGGCATTCATTATCGCAGCTATTATATTTAAAAGTAAGAAGATGAATATTGAAGTGCATAAATATTACCCTTGATTTTGATTAGATTCCGAAGTCCAGTTATCACACTCCTCCTCAGGCTCTAATATTCCATTTGGATTGCAATTATTTCAAGCAGTGATTGACTAGGTAAGTACTAAAAATAACAGAGGCAAAGCCTTAAATATAGCTAATTATTCGCTAAGATTCATTTAAAAATTTATTTTAACTATACTCAGCAGTGAATTTAATAATTTAATAATAGTCTTTGAATTTTCTATTCATATTGAAACCTGACTCTATGGGGTTTTGGGGTTTTGGGGTTTTGGGG